AAAGTGTAGTCAAATGTGGCAAAGTGTCTCAGCTCATTATGACTGCCTTAAAACAAGATTTTCCAATGGGACAAGCAAAATTATTGTGTTTTAAAAAGATACAAGCAATGCATCCCGTTTAATGAGAGAATAAGGCAGCAGTTCTTGAAGGCTAAATGGCTTTGTCCCATTGGCAAATCTTGCTTTTAAGACAATCAGTATGTACTCAAATTAAGATTAAAACAACTCTTTTTCACGCAATTATGACGTCATATTGTATATTTTTTGCAGTTAGTCATAGTTTATTGTCTCTGTAGAGAAATGTATCTTCTACATTTGACCCATCCTTCATTGCCACTGGGGTCTCTATCTGGAGCAGTGGTTGTAGTACAGCGGCCAGGGACCAATCTCCCTTCAGTATTTGTGGTAGGGGAAACCGGAGCACCCGGGGGAAACCGGAGCAGACACGGGAAGAACATGCAAACTCCACTCAGAAAGACCCTGTTCCGACCAGGATTCGAACCCTTCTTCCTGAGAAGCTAGTGTGTGATCCTCTGAGCCACTGTGACATTTGTAAGACAAATTGTGCTGTACAAAAACATGTTTGATTGATTGATTTATTGATTACTGGTATTGTGATTATCGTGGCCAGGGAGAAAACAAAGGGCTCAAACTAAAACCCAAAGAGAAACTGCTAAAACTTTTGACAAAACACAAAATGGATGGATTTTCCAAGTGAAGTTTTGTTTTCAATAGATTCTCTGAGGGTTTCCGATAACTAAAAAGATTATTCTTCACATACATTTCTAATGACAACTGTGGCAAAAGGACAAGAACAGATAATGATCTGTGAGTTTGACAAAGACAAAATGACAAACACACAATAATGGATGAGAAGAATGTTGAAATAATGATTGGATTCAGTCCTGGAGTTTGTATATTAATCACAAGCCCAAACAAAACGGAATGTATTATAGTTTAATTGCATTTTCCAAGAAACAAAAACGCTCAGCACTTTAGACAAAGATTTAGATTTGCATTTCTCTCATGTGGGTCGCAGAGCTGAATCAATCTGGTGACACAGAGTTTTAAGTTTGTTTGAGTGGTAATCACAGAGAGAGGTCTGGACCAGCACTGAGCCAGGATTAAAGTGAAAGTCCGAAACTCTTCAAATTGGGAAGAGGGAGTAAAACTTTTTGAAGATTCACTCACTCTTCCTGTCCATGCTCACTCTCACAGCTGATTGGCTGGAATTAATTCAAATCCTTGAAGTCCCTCGTCATTGGTTAAACTATTCTCCTCCAACAAATCTTACTGGTCATAGTTATGCAAAGGGAACGGACTGTTTTAGATATATGATTGTTGAAAAATACAGTGTCCCAAGGTCAAAAATCTGCATTCTTTAGAAAATGAACTAATTTAAGTGACTGACATAACCCTGCAAAGTAAATCGTATTGGCTTCATTTTTGATCAGGAACAACCACATTTAAAAAGACCTAACCAAGAGCCAACCTAATTCTAAAAGTATAATTATCACCTAATTTTCCCAGTCTCATTAGTACACATATATCAACGGCCAAAATTATCTGAAATGACTTCTAACACAACACATGGGCCTCTCTGACGCAAGCCTCGATAAGTGTCCATTAACCCACGCCATAAAAGGCTGGATAAGTCCAAGATATACAGCGGTCCGGCAGCTGTGAATGGTTTGAACAGACACATAGCTACACATGATGAATGATAACCGATGCAACAGACTTGGGTGGCAAATTTCTCGATCGTGGAGAGGAAGCTAAACCTGTTCAAATAAACAATAACAGCCAATGTTCTGTAAAACAGTTAGTTACAGCTGGAAATGGTTGAATTCTTGTCATGCATCAAAACAGGAAGCAAACTTTTTTTCCCCTCTTTTTGGATTCTTTACATTCTTCCCAAACAGCAAGCCCCATTTATAGACAACTGTCCCAGAGAATTCCCATGGTCTTTCAAAATCCAATCTCCAAGAGCATGAAAGGCAATGCGATATATGCTCTTATCCAAACAGACTTTCCGATGCGTGACGTCTGATATGGCTGATCCTGTGTGTGTGTCTTGGCAAACAACAATAATAACCCTGAAAAATGCCTGCGCTGGAAAAGTCCACGGTGAAGCGATTGGCCCCATCAACCGCAAATAGCAGCTGAGGCAGTGCAACAAGAGCATTTGGACCCTGCAGTGTAAGACATAAAACAGATGGAGCTGGTCAATGGTTCCACAGTGAGACTTGTGAAGGATGAGGTAGTGATGTGACAAAGCATCATGGGAATGAGGAAGGAGGATTATGTCTTGACTCTTGACTTTGAGAATTGATTTGGAAAAGGTCTACCATAACACTTGTTTTAGTTGTACATAAAACACTTTTAAGATATATTTTTCACTTTTTAACTGTTTGCAAATTTCCTGTCTTTTGCTTACCCTCAGTGATCCTATTTATGCCAAATGTAACATGGACATTTCTTCACTGTGAGATCAATAAAGTTTTATCTTATCTTTCAGTAAAGGCGCATTTTCATCCAATGGCAAGACTAACAGTCATTTTAAAGCTACAAGCTAAAGTTAAGACAAGTATTACAGTCATATGGAATTAATTTGTATTATAGTATTTCTAATCAAACAACCAATTATGTTACATTTGTTATTCGTTATGTGTAAGAAATGTAATTCTGTTAATTGTTAATAGGGTTTGGCAAAATACAGTAAGTGTTAAAGCAAAGTAAGTGTTAAACTTTAGCCTTTCGGTCCGTAAATAATTTACACTCTGTGAATGTCAAATGTTTTCTTATTTTCTGCTGATGGCCGAAGAATAAAATAATGATGATGATCACCTCCAGTCTCCAGAAAGAGGTTCTTGAGAGGCATCGCTTTAGCTTTGTTTTTGGTCATTGCACTGAAATTGCTTATTCTACGTATTTAAACAACTGAACGATTAATCGAAAGAATAACAACCCGACAAATTGATCAGATTAATTACAGCCATAAAACGTAGAGAATAAACGTACATAAAAACTTGGAACAATTTTGCTAAACATGTCCTTAATTATAGCAGAAATATAATCGCTAAGCTCACACGTTTGGATCCTATAGTAAAGGGCAAAGCTGTGCAGCAGTAGCAGTGAAGACAAAGATACAGAGCAGGGACAATCTTTCAGTGGGCGTGAAGTAGAGTGATTTAGCCAAGGTTGAAGTAATTGAAATACAACACAGCTCAAATACTTGGGTTACACACAAAGGTATGACCTTGTCCTCACATCATTCATCACCTCATTAGCAGTTTAGGATTTCTATTTCTATTATATGTGGACTAATCTTTACTCTTTCTTTCATCTTGAAATTTGATACCTTTCCTCCTGAGCATTAGCCTCCACCAATTAACCAAGCCACACCAATTCATCTTTCACATAGATTACATTTCCCAAAATCTATTCCTTTCATCTAAGCATTGACTTTCTTGAACTTTTAATGTTAGAGCTGTTTTTGCTTATCCAGTACCCACTAATTTTCAGATCGATTCATGCAAACTTTATGCCACAATGACTTCAACAATCTCCGAGTCCAGCGCCCGGTTGCCACCTTTGCACATTATTCCATCACTGTAGCTTTAACTCAGAAGAGACCAGGGCGAGCAGGATTCCTCATCAATACAACTCGGTATGGCTGTATCCTCAGACCACATCGACCCGATCATCAAAGCGACACCCGCAACAGAAACCTGGCAACCGCTGTGTGAAGGATCAATGTGCAATGAGGGCGCAGAGCCATTACAACACCGTACACTTTAGAGACAATCAAACAACTAGACCAGGATTAGCACTAAAACTTTACTGGCCCACACCAAGCGTCCAGACATAAGCACTTAAATGTTTAGCCGCCCTTGCATTTATGTTTGATTGCCGATAAAAAATGCATCTTAACATTTTGGATGATGGATTGATTTTGCATTCTGTCGGACTGGACCTGCAAACTGCCTGTCTGGATGGATCTCCCTTTCACTGTGAGTTTAGTTTTTCTCCCATTGGGGTTTTTAGTTTTCCAAAAGGTAAATGTATTATTAATGCAGATAAGATACTGTGTAGACATACAGTCATACAATACCAGCCTTGACTTAGACCATGGAGCTACACACTTGTTTAAAAGTATAGTAAAATATATGCCTCTCACAGTCAAGAGCCACAAAGGGCTTTACCATCTCACTCCATGCAGAGATGGAGAGGGGTCACCTTTACAGACGAGGCCTATAGCACATGTTTCTAGTGGCGGATGAAAACCAGCACAATGGGTGGCATGGTTGATAGCACTCTCTCAGCAAAAAGGTCCTGGGTTTGAATCCCGGTCGGAACAGGGCCTTTCTCAGTGGAGTTTGTATGTGTCTGCGTAGGTTTTCTCTGTAATCCAATATTACCTACAGTATAAGGTTAAATAAAGAACAACATGAGAAGATAGCCATTTTCTTTTCTCTGTGCATGTTTGGTTATTCAACACACTTTGATGATAATGACTTTGCATTGTTAATTAAGGGTGTAGTTTCATTTTTGTGACTGGTGATTCATGATTTATTTCAAAGGAAAAGGTATGCCATGGCTCAAAAAGTTTGGAGGACACTGGTATAGCTGACCTCTCTGCTCGTCAACCATTCCAATGCAAAAGAAATCAAGGTTGTAATGATCTAATTAGGTATATTTTCTTCAACACTTCAACACATCCACCAGACTTCCCCATGCCACACTAACTTTGCAAACCACTTCACCCACAGAGCAGAGCAGAGCTACTGGTGTCTCCTGGTGATGGGGGACTCACCTCCAGGCCAGTATCTCAGCTGGAGCAGCATTTGAATACATTACACAGCAGACACGCATGCTTACATTTACACATCCAACAAAATATAACTCTAGAACATCCAACCCGCAAGTGGATTTCAGAGGAAAACACTTGAAACTGGGCCAGCGGAGTCACAACCGCTTCGAAATGGTTACGAGCTTACCTCATCAAAGCTGCTGTCTTCTTTCTTGAAAGCTGTGGAGAGAAGAAGGAAGAGCGTTAGGCAGAGTCTCCTTGCACAATGCTGGTTTGAAAGAGCAAAAAGTAACTTCACGCTAAAAGAAAATGTATAATCCATTGAAACTTGGAACACACTGAGTTTTTATAGTGGCGCGTATAGGGACCATATACTAGGACTGGCAACGGCTGCAGAGGAGCCTATTAGCAAGAATCACTGTTTATGATAAAGCCCATAGGATGCACTGTAAGCAAATCTCTATCAAATTTACACCCGCTCAGGGCACTTGTTTGTGTAATGTGTATTGATCGACTGAAACTGATGATTTGAGGTTACTCCATTTCATAAATGATTAGCTTGTATCAACAACACAATATGAAGTTTATCAGAATTATGCCATAGTAAGGAAGAAAAAAAGTAGGAACATATGGTGCGAACAAGTAATGAAAGAGTGAAAAATAGATATAAAAGTATGCATAAGAAATTGTAATACAATTTTAATATAAAAATACACATGGACTTTTAACAAAGCAGATTCTAGATGAAAGATATTATAAAGTGATGGAAGTACTATTATTTATACTTTTTGTTTTAAAAGCATCGGTTTTATATAGCACCTTTTTGGACACTCGAAGACGCTGTACATGTCATTATTCATTCACTCCAAACACAGTGGTTATAAACTACCACTGTAGCCACAGCTGCCCTGGGGCACACTGACAGAAGCGAGGCAACCAGTATGTACCATCAGCCCCTCCATCCACCATTCACACACACCAGACTCATTCTAGGCAATGGAGGTGAAGTGTCTTGCCTAAGAACACAACAGCAGTTTAGCACTTCACAGCCTTCACACAACGACAGCAGACAGTGGGAGTCCATGAAGAAAGTCTTGAGGTGGGCTCGAACCCACGACCTTCTGGCTCAAAGACTAATGCTCTACCAACTGAGCTACTGTCGCCCTGATGAATGATGAGGAACGAAGTGACCAACTGCAGAGTGGAACTATAAACATACATTAACGCAAAACAAAAAGGTTAAAACTAGTTTGACTGACAATTCAAAGTCCGAATCTGTAACAGCCTTCTCAACATGGGTCAACAGAATACATTTGTCCTGAAATGATAACAATGAATGTATCGTCTCTATGTTGTCATAATGTGAAGCTGTCTGTATCTGATGGTGGCCTTTACTCCACATAGCAGGAAGTGTGGTGTAAGCATGCTAGTGTTTTGAGTGACATGTGCCCTTTTGTATGTGCATGTACTCAAGCTAATTTAAGCATATGTACACAGTAAAAGGTGTTGGGAGTAAGGATATATAAGTAGTTTTAGCACACATGACATAAATATTTATTTTCCCTAGAGTATACAGTATTTCATATTTTGTATCTTCATTAAGCTAAGGATAATTATTATGATTTTTTAAGTAGAGTTGTGCTGTACTCCATATTCACTTATCTTGTATCGTGGGCTCGTCATTCCTACTGTCCTGTAACTTGTGATGCAACACTGAAATTTCCCTACAGTGGGACGAATAAAGGAGCTCTTAAGGAGATCTTAGGAGATCTTAATCCTAGAATGATCTAAATTATATGTACAACGGCACAAAGGCTTCATTTGGTGGGGCAGCAAGATATGAGAAAAGATGGAGACATTTGACAGGTAATACTTCTTCAACCACTCTGCATTATACCACAGTAATGATAGAAATATGTTAATGTTATGTAATATTTAATAAAAAAGAACACGAGGAAGATGACATATTTTCAATGCTGTGTCAAATCCAATCACAAATTCCAATGTTTCGGGGAGATCCAGCGCGACAGTGTGGTGCTATGGGCTCAGACTGTCATTATGCGGACTTTAGTTTAGTTATTCATCACTGGTTTTATTTTTGCTTGTAAGTTTGGCTGTCCTGTTCCCCTGTTCATTTCACCTGTGTCTCTCTGTGTTCTTCCACATTTTCTGCTGACCCATTGTCATTGTCTTCGTTTTTGGCCTGGTTCCCATTTTACTTTGTCTGTTTTTCACCTTGAACTTTCATTTTATAATCAAATCCTTTTCATTTACATTCATTTTGAGTAGGGCTGGGCGATATGGCTGAAAACTATATCACAATATAAGTCAATCATATCGGTCGATAACGATATATATTGAGTTTTTTTTTTTTACCTAAATAAATATATTTGTCGTGTGGGCTAACCAACCTTAGCAGCCTTGTTTACAGTCACGGGGCGATGAGGCTGGAGGAATATGTTCACACTGTGTCCCTCGTTGTTAGTCATGGTTTAATCCTGGTTTTTTATTCCTGGTTTAGCTCCTGGTTTAGCTGTTTGAGGGTCTTGTGTCCCCGTGACCGCTCCGTGCGGCTCTCTGTGCCGCACATGCTTCCCGAGGAAAAAGTTAATCTCTTGCTTTCGCCGAATACATCGGGTCTGTCCACTGCCTCTGCCGCCGCACATGTTATTCCGCGCACGTACGTGCATAACCGTTGACACGGCATTGAAACACGAGCTATAGATCCATGGACGCTACGCATGGTGCGGTTGTTGGTGTTTTTGCATTTCCCAGAAAGTTTTGCGGTTCCTGCTCGGCTGTTATTGGTCGAGAAGCCTCTGCCTACATCCCCCACAATGCCATGCGCTTATGAGTCGGCTTTACTTCCGGTGTTTTCTTCCTGTTTTTCCTGACGGAGTTAAGTTAAACTATCGAACATTCTATCGACCCCATTCTCTATTGATATCGAACACATGTCTATCGCGATATATATCGTTATCGTTTTATCGCCCAGCCCTAATTTTGAGTCCTTCCTTTGCTTACCACACACAACACAGCCCGAACATTCTGTGGCATGGTGGTCTACGCATGGGAAAAAATGTAATGCGTTTGACTTTCTCCAACTTTACCAGCCATCTCTCTGTTGGCTGTCCATGAATAGAGTCGCTTTGCTTTCCTTGTTCGCTGCTGCAGATTGGCGTCGAACTTGAAACAATTTATGAGGGGAGGGCTGAACATCTCTGCATCACTTTGACAGTTTGTTTGTCTTTGATTTCTGAACTGCTCAGAGCCCAAGAGACTCCCCCCAGAACATTATTAATAGACCAAAGCCCATTTCAAGATTTCTTCCATTTGATGACTGTGTACACTAATGGGAAGCTACAGATGGCTAAAAGATGGTGCACTCCCCTTTAAAATAGCTTATTTATGTGTGGATCCAGTCTGTAGGTGTTAAAATAGCCGACTCCTTCTCCTCGGAGGGTCGTACGCACACGAGAGAGACGTTTTATATAACCAAAGTCAAGCGATTAATTCATAATTCATATCACAACACTATATTCAGCATTCTTTTAAAAACATTGTACTGTATGAATGTGCTAAGGTAGTATTAATAATTGACAAAGCATCTGCCAAAACATAATGTAATTTGAATAATGAGACATTAGCTAAAATGCTGTTCGTTTAGTTTCACGACTCATTAGTGTAAAAGTGTGAAGACGGCAGGAACTAAAAAGCACATTTTTATTTACTATACTTGTACGACGACTAAACGCTGCAGAGGATTGTAGGTTAAGTTGGCGCAGTCTGAATTCTTTTGTGTGTTACCCAGTGTCACATTCTCAAACAGGATGTGCATGTTAGTGTTTCCTCCTCTAATTGCAAATCTATCCACTGAAGCTCATCTTTTTGACAACTCCATCTGCTGCTCTCCAAAGTGGGTTTGTTTAAAGAGACAAGTGTGAGGAAAGTTCCCCGATATGTTTTAAGAATCTGTGTTTGTCTGAGCTGGAATACCCATCACACTGAGCTCAATCTGAAAGACGGTTTAGGCAAAAATTAAAACATTTTCAGGTTTTTTACTGTAGAGCTGTCGAAAGTATCAGTATTAGTTTATCCTTAAATATAGAGTTGAAACTAGATGCATAGATTTTTTTTATAGATCAGGGGTCTCCAACCTGTAACTGGGGAGCCACAGGTAGCTCGCCAAAGGATTTAGAAATGAATAAAATCAAATCAAATATACTTAATATTTCAGATTGTCCATCCATCCATCCATCCATTTTCTACCCTTTAATCCATTTCTGGGTCAGGGGGGTGGCAGTCAGAGAAGGCCACCCAAGTCTCATAGCACCAGCCCCTCACTGACCCTCTGCAGGTGGTGAGTCCACAGGAGGACGGCTGCTCTCTGAGTGTGAGCATAGCCTTGATTGTATAATTCATTATCATTATATATAATTGTAAATTCACTTACTTTGTCACTAGTAATAAAAATGCTCTGATAAATACAGATTGTACCTAATATTAGGCTCGTTCAAACCAATATATCACCATTTTTATCCCAGGGCTGCTGAGTGAGATAGTAGCTCTCTGCCTTTATAATCCTGGGAAAGTAGCTCTCTGGGTGAAAAAGGTTGGAGACACCTGGTAAAGAGACTGTTGAAATCACATAAACATTTGACACGTTTTTGGTTCATTTTATCAGAATTCATCATTTCTAGTCTCAGAATTTACGACAGTAAAATTTGTATTGTGATAACACTGCGCTAATTAATATACTTTAGTTAATTGATATATAATATAATTGAGTTAATTTATGCATAAGTATCTTGGACTCAGACTTTGACAGACTTTATTGATCCACAAGGGAAATTGTTCTTGCACAGTATTCCACAATAAAAATAACAATAAAAGTAACAATCTGGAAATAAGAATATTAATGAGATAATACTGTGGGAATAGAATAATCTGGATATAGGTACTCAGAAATACTGTGAATATGTACACATTTACAGTATAAAATACACAGATAATAGGATACTACACATCTGTTAATAATACAATATACAAGGACAAAGCAGATAACAGGGTGCTTGCTCTTTTTCCAAATTAAAATTCCAGACTTTTTTAAAACTGATATTTTTTTTCCCCAAGACCTTAGCAGTGACTTTAAGAAAATCAAAAAAGTAAAATTAAAAGTAAAAAGTGAAATTATAGTTTTATAGCCTACCTTCCTACTT